GCAGATTTGCCAGCCGCCACTTCCTCCACGTGAAGACCAAATCCACATCGGTGGTAAGTACTACTTGTGCTACACGCACGCAAATCAAGATCTGATTGATCTCTACTCCTCGCGTGAAGACAAGGCTGAATTACTATTCCAAATATTTTACTTCTCAATTGCTACAGCCACCGAGAGTTCCCAGGTGCTATTTTTTTTTCAACTCCGTCGCTCCGCATTAATTAATTCTATCAAGAATTTTTCTACGGGCTTGTACTACTTTGTGTACACAGATTTATCTACTCATGGCTTCCATGAAGTATGATTTTCCGCTGCTGGATCGTGACACAAGGTTTACCCTATGGCAAGTCAAGATGCGGGCGTTATTGGCACAGGCTGACTATGATGTAGCACTGGATAGATTTGGGAAACAAAGGATTCAGGACTGGACTGATGAGGAGAAAAGAATTGATTGTAAGGCTTTGTCACAAATTCAACTCCATTTGCATAATAATATTTTGCAGGAAGTTTTGAGCGAGAAAACTGCCGCCGCTCTATGGTTAAAGCTGGAAGGGATTTGCATGACCAAGGATCTCACCAGCAAGATGCATCTGAAGCAAAAATTATTCCTGCACAGGTTACCCGAGGGAGGTAATGTTTTGAATCATATTTCAGAATTTAAAGAGATCATATCTGATCTAGCTGCAATGGAGGTTAAGTATGAAGAATAAGATACTGCTTTAATGTTACTTTGCTCACTGCCAAGTTCTTATACCAATTTTAGAGACACCATATTATACAGTCGTGATACTCTCACACTTAATGAAGTTTATGAAGCTTTGAACTCTAAGGAGAAGATGAAATTAATGGTGCCTCATGATGGTTCAAGTTCATCCCAAGCCGAGGGATTATCTGTTCGTGGCAGGACAAAGGAGAAGAACTCCAATAATGGAAACAGAGGCAAAAGTAAGAATGGCTATAGGGGCCGGTCGCAATCCAGAGACAAGAAGTATTGCAGGTATTGCAGGAGATACGGGCATGACATCTCTGAGTGTTTCAAGTTGCAGAATAAGGAAAAGAGGAAAGGTAACAAACAAGGTGAAAATTCTGCTAACGTTGCTCGTGATGATAGTTCCGATGATGCTCTTGTCGTTATTGCTGGATGTGCTGAGACCAATGATGAGTGGGTACTTGACACTGCATGCACTTTTCATATGTGTCCACATAGAGATTGGTTTAATACTTTTGATTCCACTACTTCTGCTGGTTCCGTTTTGGGTTTTCATAATTCACCATGCAAGATTGAAGGCATAGGTTCTATTCGAATCAAGATGTTTGATGGCATAATCAGAACTTTGACAGATGTTCGGTATATTCCGAAGATGAAGAGAAATCTTATCTCTGTTAGTGCCCTTGATGCAATGGGGTACAAGTATTCAGGTGGAGATAGTGTTTTGAAGGTCACCAAAGGTTCCCTTGTTGTGATGAAAGGTGACTTAAGTTCGACCAATGGTCTTTATTACCTTCGAGGTTCTACTGTTTCAGGTAACGCTACTCCAGTTGTTTCAAAGAATTCTGATTGTGATGCTGCTAACCTTTGGCATATGCGTCTTGGACATATGAGTGAACTTGCTTTAGCAGAGTTAAACAAGAGAGGTCTTCTTGATGGATATGAACCTGGTAAATTGAAATTTTGTGAGCACTGTATCTTCGGCAAGCACAAGAGGGTGAAGTTCAATACTTCGACCCATACAACTGAAGGTATTCTTGATTATGTGCATTCTGATTTATGGGGACCATCTCGCAAGAAGTCATTAGGTGGTGCAAGTTATATGCTGACTATTATTGATGATTATTCGAGAAAAGTTTGGCCTTATTTCTTGAAGCATAAATATGAAGCATTCTCAGCATTTAAGGAGTGGAAGATTATGATTGAGAGGCAAACTGAAAGGAAGGTAAAAATACTTCGCACTGATAATGGTATGGAATTCTGTTCTAAGCAATTTAAGAATTATTGCAAGTTTGAAGGCATTGTCAGACACTACACCGTTCCTTATACTCCTCAACAAAACGGTGTTGCTGAGCGTATGAACAGGACCATTATTTCCAGAGCCCGTTGCATGTTGTCCAATGCAGGTTTGCATAGGCGTTTTTGGGCTGAGGCCGCTTCCACTGCTTGTTATCTCATTAATCGTTCACCATCTATTGCTCTTAATAAGAAAACTCCAATTGAGGTATGGTCTGGTTCACCTGCTGATTATTCACAGTTGAGAGTTTTTGGTTGCACTGCTTATGCTCATGTTGATAATGGAAAGTTGGAGCCTAGGGCTGTTAAGTGCATCTTTCTTGGTTATATGTCTGATGTTAAAGGTTTTAAATTGTGGAATCCTGAAACCCAGAAGGTTGTTATTAGCAGAAATGTTATCTTTAATGAATCTGCTATGTTACATGATGTTTCATCTACTAATGTTCCTGTTGAGAGTGAACAGCAGCCTACTATTCAGCAGTCTACTGTTCAAGTGGAGCATGTTATTGATTCATGTGATACATCTGGTAATGAAATTGTTGATGCACATGATGAACCCGTCGTTAATGATGAACATGTCACTCCTACTCCAAATCAGCATATTGTTCTACCCAGTTGGAATCTTGCACGTGACAGAGTTAGACGGGGTATTAATAAACCTGATAGGTTAATTGAAGAGTGCAATATTGTTTCTTTTGCTTTGTCTGTTGCAGAAGAAATTGAAGGTAATTCTGAGCCTTCTTCATATTCCGAGGCTATTATTTCTGATGATAGTAATAAGTGGATGACCGCTATGCATGATGAGATGGAATCACTTGAAAAGAATGGCACTTGGGATTTAGTAAGATTACCTAGAGAGAAGAAACATATTCGTTGCAAGTGGGTTTTCAAGAGGAAAGAAGGTGTTTCTCCTAACAATGAGACAAGATATAAAGCAAGGTTAGTTGCTAAAGGTTATAGCCAGATTCCAGGTATTGACTATAACGAAGTCTTTTCTCCTGTTGTGAAGCATAGCTCTATTCGCACTTTACTCAGTATTGTTGCCATGCATGATCTTGAGCTTGAACAATTGGATGTTAAAACTGCATTCTTACATGGAGAATTAGAAGAGGATATTTATATGGAACAACCTGAAAGAAAAGCTTGTCTACAAGTTAAAGAAATCTCTTTATGGATTGAAACAATCCCCGAGACAGTGGTACAAGAGATTTGACACCTTTATGCTCTCTCAAGGTTTCAAAAGGTCTAATTATGATAGTTGTGTTTATTTGAAAACTGTCAATGGTTCAACTATTTATTTGCTCCTTTATGTTGATGATATGCTTATTGCTGCAAAGAGTATGTCAGATATTGATAAACTAAGGAAGCAATTGAGTAATGAATTTGAGATGAAGGATTTGGGTGCAGCAAAGAAAATACTTGGCATGGAAATATCCAGAGATAGACCGTCTGGAAAAGTATATCTAAGTCGGAGAGGATATATTGATAAAGTTCTTCGTCGTTTTAATATGCATAATGCCAAGCCAGTAAGTACTCCGTTAGCTACACACTTCAAATTATCATCAGCTTTATGTCCTAAGTCAGATGCAGATATTGAGTACATGTCTAGAGTTCCCTATTCAAGTGCAGTTGGTTCACTTATGTACGCCATGGTTTGTTCTCGTCCTGACTTATCATATGCATTGAGTGTTGTGAGTAGATACATGGTTAATCCTGGAAAAGAGCATTGGAAAGCAGTTCAGTGGATTTTCAGATACCTGCGTGGTACTTCTAATGCTTATTTACAGTTTGGGAAAAGTGGAGATGGACTTGTTGGTTTTGTTGATTCTGATTTTGCTGCTGATTTGGATAAGAGAAGATCACTCACAGGTTATGTTTTCAACATTGGTGGTTGTGCTGTGAGTTGGAGAGCAACTTTGTAGTCTATTGTGGCTTGTTCCACTACTGATGCCGAGTATATGGCTATTTCTGAGGCTTGCAAAGAAGCTATCTGGTTGAGAGGTTTGTACACTGAGCTTTGTGGAGATTCATCTTGCCCTACCATATTTTCTGACAGTCAAAGTGTCATATATCTTACAAAAAATCCAATGTATCATGAGAGGACAAAGCACATTGATGTTAGATTTCACTATATTCGAGATGTTGTTGCTGAAGGTGATTTGAAGGTATGCAAGATAAGTACTCATGATAATCCTGCTGATATGATGACAAAGCCAGTTTCTACCAATAAGTTTGAGCTTTGCTCAGGCTTAGTTGGTATTTCTCATTAGTCCTATGGACTTTGACGCACAAGGTATTTATGCTGATTTGGATGGAGTTATCTACTTTCTTCGACTACTTGAGGGAATTTGGATCAAGGTGGAGATTGTTAAATTGTGATCCAAGTTATACCATGTTAGACTAGACGTAGTACAACCGGTGTGGGCCTTCGCGTTGACGTCGACGCGTACGAGTACAACTCGTTTACTTGTCCTCCAAGGACTCTCATGTATTGCCCTCTTATATACCTCATGTAGTCGCACCTCAGACGGTTTGTCGTCTCGTGCTTGTAATACTCCTCCTCATAGTGATTGCGCCTTCGTGCGTCCGTGGTTTTCTCCCGCAAGGGTTTCCACGTAAAAATCCGTGTCTTTTGTCTTGTTTATTCTCGTTATTATCTAACATTAACCAGGTTTCATAATTTCGCTAATCCAATAAAACCAGAAATAATACATACCACTGAAGATGGGATTGTCAATGTAAGGTTCAGACTATTACCAACATGCATAACCAATCAAAAGAGAAGCGCTCTCTATGACTCTCTCTATGATCACATTTTCTTTGCCAAGGGAAGCACATAACAATGTAGCACAATATCGACAGACGAAGGTAACATGCAATTATCCCCACACTTTAGAGCTCTTTTAATTCAGGACATGTACAATTACATACCAGGAATAGGTTGGAGCCGCGTGGTAGTAATTACTACGGAGTTCTCACTCTGATGGAAGTGGGCTCAACCGACTCGATCGAGCAGCCTAAATCCTGATTCGCGCCTCCGCTTTCTTTTCTCCAGCATCACTTTCTTATTTTCGTTCGCAGCAAGGGCCACCGTAGTGGGGAACATCGGTGGCTGGCAGCCCTGCTCGTTGGCACAAATAAGAACCTCTGCCACATATAAAATGTAGGAAGTCAATATTATCATTTGGGCAAAAAGGAAGAATCGCGAGCAATAGGGCATGGAATATCCAGACGTTTCTTTTCTTAGAAAAATATCATCAATGAAGTGAAGAGCAGAAAACAAAGATGTGGTACTGCCGATGATGGAATACGTTCTTTCTAAGTGCAAAGTTAATAGGAATACATACATAACAAATATATATGGCGCGCAGGGCACATACCTTTTGTTCAATGTGAGCAAGCTTCGTCTTGTTCTCCTCTGCTTCACACCACTGCTCTAAGTTAGGGCAGCCGTGAATTTCTAATTCTTGGAGGTTTGTGAGCTGCTGTATGCTGTTCGGCAGAGTCGTGATAGCAGAACATTTCCAAATTATAAGTTTCTTGAGAGAGGTAAGTTCTCCTAACCACAGCGGCAGCTGTCTCAAGCTACAACAGGTATCTAGTGTTAATGATTGCAACTGTTTGAGTTGCCTCATGCTATCGGGCAATTCCTCTAGGTTCTTGCATTGCGTTATCACCAGTTGCAGAAGAGATGACAACTCACCTACCCATCCGGACAATTCTGATTGGGCCAAGTACTTCAATCTCAGTGATTTGAGGGACCGGAGGGCCCAACTGATCTCTGGTGAGCCTGTCAAATCAGAGCAACATGCGATGCACAAATAACTGATGGCAGGTAGATGGTGAAGCAATCTCCACCGATGCAGAGGCACCTTGCTGAATTCAATTGCCACAGAAGAAGATGAAGCAACATTGCGTGAGACGCCCTCTGCCCATGATATGAGCACATTATCACATTCATGTATACTCCAAGATGCAGCTCTAGGAAGGTGTGGTTTTATCCTCAACCTGGGGCAATAATGTATATTCACTTTCTCAAGCTTACGGAACATGAGCTCATCCTCACCAATAGAGAGTGTCGTGTTCCATTCTTCCAGGCTTTCCATGCGTTTCAGAGTAAGCACCCGGAGGTTTGGTGGTAGTTGGGCGAGGGGTGGAAAACTCTTGCAGTTGGGCATATTATACATCTCCATTTGGAGAATATTAGGGAGATAGTTGCCAATACTCATTAGCCAGTCTGGAAAGCTGGCACTAATATAACCAGATATCAGAAACTTCTGCAAAGCGGTTGGTGGCATTAGCTCCCTCAGCAACTCCATGTCATCCACACATCTCTTAGCTTGTGGGTCAAACCAACTTAATGACAAATCTTCAATCCTATGTTTTTCAATCAGTTTTACACTGCGTGCCTCTTCTGGGGACTTCACATTTTCAAGTTTGCTGATGGCCAACCTGTCAGGATTTACATGCACAAGCAAGCCAAGGTTGGTGTAACATTTATTATCATCAGCAGTTACAGAAAATCCTGGCACCAAGCCAAAAAGGCATTGATAGTCCATTTTAGCCACACATTCTGGAAGCCTCGCAATATGGTCGCACTTTTCAAGGACCAGCTTCTGGAGGCAGCTAGCACTTTCTGGTATACTAATAAGAGGATGGTGATTACAAGACAGGTCCAGGTGCTCCATATTGGGAAGCGTACAAATACAGTCAATGAAACTCTCGCTTTGATCTGTTGATGAGCTGTCAAAGATATGATGCATGCACCCTGATAGATTCAGATGTCGAAGTTCGGTGAGATTGCAGATGACATCTGGCAGCCCTATGAGATTTTCACATCTTGATAATTCCAAGTGTTAGAGTTTGGTAAGGCTAGCCAAAGCTTCAGGTATTCCTACAACATGTGTACAGTATGCTAAGTTGAGATATAGCAACCCTTTGAGCTTTGAAAATGAATGTGGGAGTCCTTTTAGACTGTAACAACTTGATAATTCAAGATGCATCAGACCTTTCATTTCACCAACTGACTCAGGCAATGATGAGATACCATCACACTGATGAAGGTTGAGATAGTTCAAATCTCGGAGCATACCGATAAACCTAGGATTCATTCCATAAACGAGATTTGGAGCACTAAGATACCTCAATTGCTTCAACCGAATAATAGAATCTGGAAACTTATGGAACTTGACTCTGCTTAAATCCAAGACACGGGTGTACTTAGCTGCTGAATATGCGTCACAATGGAACGTCTCTAGGTGATCGTCCACAATGTGCAACGCCCTTAGTTTTTCAGGTGAAGTCGTGGATGACTTTATTAATGACTTCGTACAATCTGTGAGCCATGCATAGCGGCAGTTGGGGCCCGCCAAGTTAAATTCATCAGCCATGACCGTTCTTGCGAGGTCATGCACCATGTCATGCATAGTGAACTCACAATTAACATATCTTTGAAACGTTTTTGGGGCGTCAGCCTGCACAAATATAGACATATACAACAGCAAGACTTATCAGTTAAAATTCTACTTCCTTCGTTCCTAAATATAAGTTTTTTTAAAGATTCCAATGCGGACTACATACGGAGCAAAATGAGTGAATCTACACACTAAACTATGTCTATATACATCCATATGTAGTTCATATTGAAATATCTAGAAAGACTTATATTTAAGAACGGAAGGCCTCCATTCCTAAATATAAGTCATTTTAGAGATTTTCAATGCAGACTACATATGGAGCAAAATGAGTGAATCTACACTCTAAAATATGTCTACATACATCGTATGTAGCTCATATCGAAATCTCTAAAAAGACTTACATTTAAGAACGGAGGGCCTCCGTTCCTAAATATAAAGTCATTTTAGAGATTCCAATGCGGACTACATACAGAGCAAAATGTGTGAATGTACACTCTAAAATATGTCTATATACATTCATATGTAATTCTTATTGAAATCTCTAAAAAAGACTAATATTTAGGAACGGAAGGAGTACTACCCATGTAAGGATAGGTATTACACTATTGGAAGTTATACTATAATTTGATGCTCCGCACGAACCACCATATTGATCCACATCATCAAAATTAATTAGATGATTTAATGGGTAATATCTTATATTGCGGGTAACCTGCTCTTCGGTCCCACCATATTTCTCACGTTCTGTTTTCAAACAACCACAACCTCCGACGCCCAACCAAAAGAAATGATGCCCTTTGGCTGACGTTTCTTGAAAAGGGACAGAGGAACACTTCGACACAAGCAAAAAAGAAACTTAATCCCCGACGCCATGAGGCCGCACAAATTAAATAAAAACCAGATCAATTTGTAGCCGGACTTGAGAAAAAGAAAAATTCATCCCACCACCCTCACGTACTACTCCCTCCGTTCCGAATTACTTGTCTTAGATTTGTCTAGATACGGATGTATCTAATATTAAAATGAGTCTAGATACATCTGTATTTAGACAAATCCAAGACAACTAATTTAGAACGGAGGGAGTAAAAGGGTAATCATTGTTGTATCAGGTTGTAATGGCCTAGTGGCCCTGCAGCGCCATCTACTTTCAGTTCATAGCCCATCCCAACTCCAGTGCTCATCTTCACGCACGCGCACTGCTCAACCAGCCACTTATCGCCGCACAGGCTCGACGAGGGTCGCCGTGGAGGATCCCGGCGCCTGGGCCGAACTCTGCCGAAGACCACCCTAACCTCGAGGAAAACAAGGGCCCACTCTGCCGCTCGCTCAGGGATCATTCGAGGAACTCGCCAGGCGCCCCGCTCTGAAACTGTAGGTGTTCAATTCACCCTAAAACCAACCTGTACTCTGACATTGATTTCCTGTATGACAGTGAGTCAAAATGGGGACTTTCTTGAAATCATTTTTTCTCCGAGAAATTGTAATCTTGTTGTCTCCCTATATGGGTCAGATGAATAGATGATAACTACAGTAATGTCTATTGTTTCTTGTATGACAGGATTGTGTAATAAGATGGAGATGAGAATCTTGCCAATAATTTGGCAGTCACATAGAGCACAAAACTCTGTTGGTATTCTTTTTTAGGGGAAACGTCGTTGCTTTATTGATCAACGAGGTCCAAAGGTATTTTTACAATATCATGTGGCTGCAGCAGCCAGACATGTATACCCAGCACCAAAGATAACAAAACATTAGCTTAATAACTGTCTGCTTCAAAATTTCTAATTCTACTCTCATGAATAAAATTACACATTTGAAACACCAGTAATTGCCTAGAAACACGATCGTGTCACTCCCTCCCCAGGCGACTTGGGCACCTTGCCCTCCCCCACCCAGGGCGGCCAAATTTGGTGTTCTGGCCCTTTTTGTAAAGTTAAGCCAAATTTGACCCTGGTTTGAATTTTTTATGAGATCTGACCCTTCTCCTACCTCCGGAATCGATGGCGGTAGGGTTAACGGCAGTGGATGTCATCTCATGGCTTGGGTTGACGTGGACTAAACATCCTACCACCAGAAAGGTAGGTAAACCCTACCGCCCCTGCCACTAGCGGTAGGGTGGGCACGTAAACCCCATAAACCCCGGTACCCGAACTGTACCTAGGGAGGGGAAAAACTTCACGGTAAGCAGTGCAACCCTACGGCCAAACATCTTGGCGATAGGCTGCACAAACCTACCGCCAACCGGCCTGGCGGTAGGTTGGCTGGGGTTCTGTAACTGAAACTTAAAAAAAAATAAGGTAGTGTGTGCAGCCCTACCACCAGTGACTACGGCGGTAGGGTCCTGTCCCATTTTAAATTTTGCTTCTTTTTGTGCAAAACTTGATCATTTCAATTCAAAAAATTCATCACGCAATAATATAGCTTTTGCAAATGGGAATGAGAGAAGTGCCTCCTCTCTGTTCTTCGCGGTAGGGGAGAAGATGGGGGCTGGTTTCATGGGTGGGCCCCCAACTTATAACAGTTCAAAACCTACCGACAGGGTATCCGGCGGTAGGGTATAACAGCCTATCGCCAGCGGCCTCAGCGATAGGGTTGATGGCAGAGGCCGAAGGCCGTTTACTTGCAGTGACGTGGATGAGTGGCCTACCACCAGGGGCCATGGCAGTAGGTAGTTATACCCTACCGCCATCAACCCCGGCGGTAAAAAAAAAGGGGGTCAGATCTCCAAAAAATCGAACCAGGGTCAAATCTGGCTTAACTTTACAAAAAGTGTCAAAACACCAAATTTGGCAACCCAGGGCCAGCCCTTGCGTTTTAGAGGCCCCTACGAACTCTTGTGCTTCACCATCGGTCCTAGGCCCTCGCCTCACCATGGCCCCAACGTCTACGCATGTTGCTGATCACCCATCCACCAGGGACTTGTCATCTTGAGATAGTTATAGGATGGGAGAACTGATTTAAGATTGCTACAACAAAAATATCCATTGATTGCATCACTTTGTTCTTGGTCTTTTGGGATTGGATCAATTAGTGTTGGGGATTTGAAGAAAGGCAATGAATTGGGAGAAGATCGGAGGTAGCAACGGTGTGCTTTTTGGTGGAGAAAACGAAGCAACTATGCTTTTTACCACGGTAGTAGGAGTGAGATGGAACTCCTTTCACCCCTAGCCCGGCATCAGCCATTGGATCTAGGTTAGCACCTCCACAGTAGGAGGTGCCCACACCTGCCTCCTCTGCTGGTCGCTGTGGACCGTGGGGATGCAATCCAATGACTGTCGATGGCCGCCGGCGAGAAAGCTCGAACAATGCCATGCCCATGGCCACCGGAGCTGATCCGTTCGACGACATGGCAACACCCGAAGAGCCCAACTCGGACCGACGCCATGAGAAAGCAGCAGAAACGAAGAGCACAACACGAAGGAAACCAACGCGGACCAAGTCAGCCCCTCGTGCTGCTCGTCCCCCTCGTCCCCCTCGTGTCGCCCCCGCGGGCGACCCAGGGGGAACCCTAGCCGCCGTCCTCTCGTCCCTCCTCCCGCCTCCACCTCCCCTCGCCGCCGTCCGCAGCGCCGCCGGGCAAAGCTTGGCTGGCTGGGCGGCGGCGGGGCGTATCTCCCTCTTGTCTATCTCGGCTGGCGCGGGGCAGCCAGATCGGACGGGGCGCCGGACTAGCGCGGGGTTGGGCGGCATGGCGCGGCAGGTTTCTTGGCGACGTCGTGTGGCGCGGCGGCGGCGGCGGCCTGCTCGCGGCGTGGTGACGGCTGCGTGGTGGAAAGATCGGTGGTCGCGGGCGCTGCCGGGTTCAGATCGGATCCAATCTGGGTCTTGGGCTTGAACGCCATCAGCAGCCGCGGGGTGGTGGTGGTCGTCGCTGACCACGCCGGATCGCTGGATTTGGCGCTTGGAGATCTACGATGGAGTCTTCTCGATCCTCCTTCATGGTGGGTTGGACCCCATGGCTCTTTCATCTCTGCAGGTTCCAGTTCGTGGTCCAGCCGGATCCGGAGCCGATGGAGTTTTGGTGGTATAGGATGGGGACCGGAGGAAACTTTGATCGGCTTGTTCGGTCCGGCATCGGCGACGTCTCTCGACGCTGTTACCCTCCATGGAGGCGATGTCGAGGTCTCTCCTATCCATCTAAGAACCCCTCCCGGACGAAAGTCCAAAATTCAGTCTGGATTGGGCGGCGGCGGCGTCCTTCGCGTCGTACCCTCAATGGAGGCGCCGTCTTGGGAGGTTCTGATGTTCGGCGGAGAGATGCTGTGGGTGATGGACTCCGGTAGCTCCAGCAGTGGCGATGGTGTGGAGGTTGCCAGGAGGTGCGGCGTTGCTTCTACCGCGTCGAT